TTAAACATTACCATAGCGATCAGAGTGTTGCGGCCAGATTAGACGCTCCTTGTGTTTATTATTATATTTCGTAAACATCACAGTTTTCATGCAGCTCATACCATATTATTTTGTTGTTTTATTTCCGCCACACCTTAAATGCCGGTCCCTGAAAATATTGTCTGAAATAAACCGGTCCATGGGGCAAAAAAGGTTGGAGACCCCTGTTCTAGTGTAAAGTCTGGAAAATAGAAAAATCCTTCTCGAAAAAAAAATAGGACCGCAAACTAACGATTGTTTGAATAATTGATTCAAATATTGGTCCAAAAAAATCGTTGATGATTCAAAGAATCCGATGAAGAAAATCAAACCTGTTTTAATTTGTGTCCCTTGCTTGTAAAAGCGGACATGATATCCGATACCGACGACGCTGACGATGCACAAAACGATCCCGCTACTGCTTTGCGCCGTCAGAAAATCGACAAAAATGTTCATTTTCCAAAAGTCAAAGCAGTTGTTTGCAAATTTGTTCACCGGATTGAAGGCAAAGATAATCAGTCCTGCTTTCATGGGGCACTGTTGACATGGGAGAAGATTGACTGTCGAGAGGCTCCAATCGGAGGGGTTGGGCAATTGGAAGTTAAACGACGCCCGTCAACGATCAATCCGTGAGTCACGGATTAGTTGCCGCCCCTCCAATGTTCCAGTAACGATGCCCTTTCAATCAACTGCTACTCGAACAAAACCGGAGCAGCGCAGGCCAACATTTGGAAATCCGTGCCGCCGTCGCGCTTCGTTGGGAAGGCGGCATCCTCACCTGCGCCGCCGTCACGTTCAGGTACGCCTTGGCGGTCAGCTCCCGCGACTTTCGCCGGTAGACGTCCTTCTTGTGCCAGTTGCGGCTCCACTGCGGCCGCCAGAACTCCCAGTCGATGACGGCCAGGCCGCGGAAGTCTTCGGCGGGGATGAAGTGCGCGATGTCCCGGTAGGCCTTGAACAGGTGCACGTCCAGGCTGCCGTTCTGCGGGACGCCGCCGTGCACCGCCTCGCCCTGCGCCGTGTAGCGCGGGTAGTAGCCCAGCCGGTTGGCGTAGAAGATGGTGACGTTCTGGCCCGTCCAGTTGGCGCGGGGGCTGCCGTGGATTTGGAACAGGGGGTCCAGGTTGACGCTGACGTTGTACTTGATTTCGCACATGTCCAGCGGCGCGTTCCAGGCGGCCACGAAGGGCTTGCGGCCCACCAGGGGCAGCCGGGCCGGCTTCTGGGCCAGGGCCGAGTGCAGGAGCAGGAGCAGCCGCGAGAAGGTCAGGGCGAGCGGGACCGCCGGCCGCGTGGAGGAGAGAGCGCCCGCCGGCCCCGCCGGCATGCTGGCGCTCAGGTGCGGGGGCTGGAGATCATCCTGAGGGCGACGGGAGAAAAATTCAGCCACCGCGGCACCACCGCGCACCTTTTCACCCAAATGGACCGACGATAACTGTCGGCCAAATTGCAACCGCGTTTAAAGTTGGCTCGACTGCTCTTGTAAACTCGCTCCCGCCCGTTCAGCTTGACGGTCGTCAACTTAGATGAATGGATCCGAATGGATACATTCAAGGCAACGGATTTCAATCAGCTTTCCTGTCGCTTGGACGTTATTCGGGTGCCACATTCCGAAGACGGCTTTCGGAGCATTTTAATCACAGACTAAAAATGTCCGCAGGCGGAGTCACTCCCGAATGACGTTCAAACGCAAACGTTTTATGAGACCTCTCGGAGGATTTGTGGAAAGCGAAGCTGCGAGACTCGAACTCGGCTGGCACGCCGCACAGCATCGGATTCGGATTCCAAATCTGCCAAAACAACTGCCGCCCGCTCAAGGGAAGTAAATCGGCTGCCAGTGAAGGAGGGGATCCGTTTATGAAGCGCGAGACTAAAAATGCCCAAAATGCGGATGTTACGCGACATCCGGGGACTCCGCAAGGCAGAAAAGACGAACTGGGCTGACCAGAGCCGAAGCCTCAATGACACTCGCTCCCGCCAGCGGTCAGCTTGTGGTTTGACGCCGTCGAGCTCTCCACACGTCGCGCCCTGCGACTCCTCTGGGAGTCGAGTCCTCCTCTCGCGTGTCGTCAAGAAAGCTAGTTCACGGCCATGCCGGCCAGCGCTCGCGCAAGCGTGGATGCCCCCCCCACCCCCTTTCATCAAAGGCGCTCGCTTCTGCCAGGTTTCCACCTCATCTTTGGAAATGGTCTGCTTGTTCTGTAAGTCAAGCCTTGCTTTGAATCACATGCTGCATTTCGGCAAGGTTCTGATTTCATTGACTTGGACTCGTCTCCGAAATCGTCTTTTGTTGTCAAGGCGGCTTGCTGCTCCGGCTCCGAGTCAGAACTGAGACACCGGCTACCTCGCTCCGGGAAGGTGGGGCCGGGCCATTTCAAGATCGGAAAACAAATCATAGCATCTGGAAAAAAAAAAAAACTCTAAAATGAGCCCGTGAAGGGATGCCGGAGTAGGAGCGACGCACTCCCTCTTACGAGTACCGGTCAATACAAGAGTCGAGCGGCGGCATTGTGGACCAACTGGAGATGCTTGATGGAGGATTGGCTGACTCCAAAGTCAAGTGCGTTACTGTAATCCGGCCCAAATGTGACAAAGGCACGAATAACTGTTTCGCAACAAACAAGCCATTGGACTGGATGACGGGTGGATCGTCTTACTTTGATATCGTTTGTCAGGGAAATCGGCTTTCTGCTTGATCGGCGCTGTATGACATGTTCCCCTGTTGCCGGGCAAAGAAAAAAAACATTGGCTCATTTTAGTTCTGCCCTGTCATACGAGTTTGTCGCTGTCTTGAAAGTTGAAGCATATGGAGCGACCCCGTATTCTGGTATCGAACTGAAAATTTGATCGAATAATAAAATAAAAATAAAAGACAATCTTGTGCAAGCCTGATTTATTAATAAGCGATCTGTAGAAACGGCAACTGTGTGAGCATCAATGCGCGCTGTCATTTTGGTCTATCGAGTGTCGCTAGCGCTGCTAGCGCCAAACACTGACAACAAACGCCCTACAATACCACGTCAATGTGATTCAATTGTCCTGAATTAGCGATTGGACATTTATTTCAAGCTGGCCGTCACGCCGCGCCGCGCACGCGGGAACAACTTCAAAATAAAAGTGTGCCAAAGCATCAATGTCCAACATATTTGGTCATGTGAGGTTTATTTTGAAGTTCTACTTCCCACGTTGGCAGCGAGTCACCGTCATGCATAGCATGAAGGATTGTTGCCGCTCTTAGCTTGACTACTTATCCTGACTGTAAACAAACGCTGTGAGGTCCTCGAATTTGTGGAGGAGCGGACTCAGCCTTGCGTGAGATGCCGCACGTGACCATTCCAAAGTTGTGTTTGCAAGTTCTTACGAGGACGGCGGCATCGCTTTCAGAACAATTGACAGGAAGTAGCCGGCCTTCAAATCTCATGTTTGCATTTCGCCTTGTTGTAAAAGTGGCAAAAGGGGAAAAAGAATTCCGCCGCCGCGAGCGCACAAACCAACCCAACCCCCCCCCACACAAACGCACAGGCAAGCATGAGGGGGCATCAGTCGGGTGAGTGCCTGCGGTTCTTGCGGCTTCTTGTCTTTCGACAGAGACGCCGTCTGATTGTCTCCGCTGGAAACTGTTGCGAATTTCAGCCGCGCTTTGCCAGTGGCTTTGGATTGTCCCCTCGCCAAGGCGGTTTCTCGGGGAGGGGGGAGGGTAATCGGCTTTGTGACTCCAAACCAATCATCGGCACAAAGTCATGCGCATGATTCCGGGAATGTGAACAAAGACGGCGAGATCCGAAGACGGATGAGTGAGGGCGCGTTTTGGAACGTCACGACGGGGGCACTCGACTCCTGCAAATTCACGAGAGGGATCAGAGATCCCCGAAACTCGGTGGCACATGTAAGCGTCGCGCTCGCTCCGCAAATGCGAGTCGTTCGAAAGCGACAGTGTGGTGCAACGCTTCTTGTGCGGCCGTGCGTGCGCTTATTCTGAAGGTCCGAATTCTGACAGGACGTTGCACCTTCTTCAAATGTTGCTCCTTAAAGCTGACCTTGTGCCAGAAGCTTTGCCGTCCGTGTCACCGTTTTTTTTTTGTTTTTTTTTTGTGTACATGATGCCAAGTTCCAAGAGGCGGCCATTTACTTTCCGAGAGAAACCTGATAGAATCGTAAAAATACGTCTCTTTTCCTTCAAGGATTATCATACAATGAAGAACAAAATATCAAACGAGTTTTGCGTTGATTGAATTTGGATTTTTCTTGATTCGTCCATGAAAACATCACAAGCAGTTTTCTCTTGTTCACGTTGTTTTGTGCTGGAAAGTGCCGCAAAAGCAAAACATTCGCGTCAAAGTCACTGCTCTGCTTGCTCTCAACAAAAAAAAAAAAAAGCTCATTTTCTCTGCTTTTTGGTTAGAAACCGATGTTTTGGTGAACCCTGCCCAATGCTCTGCCGCTGTTTTTTTTACAGAACAGAAATAGCTACAAACAAACTTTGCGTTGGAAATCGACTCTTTCTTTTTGTTGTCTCCGCCGCTCACGATGTCGCCAAACAATATTCTGCGGGTCTTGGCATCCAAGCCGAAATTCTCAAAACCGCCGCTGGCAATATGGAGAACTCTGCACCGAAAGTGAGTTCAAATCGCTCCTTTTGCATGCCGACGAACGACAAGCCGATCGAAGAAGCGTCAGCTGCCACGCCACTTTAGTTTGCCTCAAAAATTGCTCAATGTGACTTTCGTCTCGATGCGTCACCAGCCCTGAACTTCACCTCGCCTCGCCTCGCGTTTCAAAAAAATCCAAAGTGCCACTTTGGACCTTTCCGAACACAAAAATGTGTGAGGCAACATTCTTGGCGCGAACGTTCCCATCCCTTCCCATCCCTTCCGCGGCCGAACTCAACCACGCGGTCGACAAAACGCTCCGCAAAGACAAAAGACACGCGTGCGTCGGGGGCTTCGACGGCTCCCCTCCAGGAAATTGTGGCTCACCTGTAGATGAGGGGGCGGGTCTCTCGCTTTGTCATCTCGGGCCCCAAACGCATTCCACTCTTGCGACGTGCGCTCCTGCCGGCCCCTGGGTGGGCGACCGAACCGCCGTGCCGGCCTTTTATACCGCCTGCAGGGAAGGAGGAGGAGGAGAGCCTCGGCGTCGGGATTACACCGAGGGAGGGGGGGTGAGAGGGATACTCAAAAAAAAAAAAAAAGAAGAGGGAGGACAGCTCTCAGTCATCTGTAGCCAAACAGGAACAGAAACTGTTTGGCGCGTGCGTTTGCAGTTCACACTCCCCCCCATCAGGAGGCAGCGTGTCGGCCGACCTCCGCAAAACTGCCTTTTGGAAAACATGATGAATGTGTCGGGCATGCTTGTGCGCTCGATTGCATGACGCCGTGGGTGGTACAGTCAACGAGGGCTTCTCGGCCATGTTGATTCTTTGCTGCGCTGAGAAAAAAAAAAGAAAAAGATTTCATTGGCGTGGACTGCCAGAATCAAACGTTCTCTTGTGGAGATGATTCCAAAAATGTGGCTTTCGGTTGGACTCCAGATGAGACGGAGTTCTGCCTCTGCACTGATGTTCATTGGGTCGAGTTGCCGTTTGGATTGGAAATGCATGAATGGGCTGCGCCCTCTAAAGTGGGGAAAAATGCAGGATTGTTATCTTTTTTTTTGGGCGAGGGGCGGGGGGCATAAAAATGAAATGGCAGCTCAACAGATACCAGCCCAACAAGCATCTGCCCGCTATGCCTGATGGCCAGTCCAGCCCTTGGCCTGCAGGGTGATCAGGCCGCAAAATCTTTTTTTTTTCTCCCACAAAAGTCACATTTTACAAAGGAA